CCTTTTGCAAATGTCCATAGGCTTGGCATGTGTGTGTCTGTCTGTGGGGAACGGTGCCAGAACGATGGATGAAAACCGTGTGTTGTGTTCCAGACACACAGACAACACAGCTCCAATCAAACACACTACAAGGGAGCCTGCCCTCCAGGGGAATCACTGAAACCTATGATCCAGCCATGCCCTATAGCGGTCGTGTTGTGGACAGAAGCCATTGCCCGTGTTAACTTAGTCCCTGGGAATAGCCCTTAAATTATTGGATGTTTGGTTATATTCCCACGCCATGGGCCTTGGCACAGGGGCAATGTCTGCATGGTAGCCAAAAGGCTGTTGTTGCTACTCTGGAAGGAACGAAAGCACATGCACGTACAGGATCACTTCACGATCAGGAGACTTATCTATTTTTGCAGCATTTGGAAAAAGATGATAGATAGATAGATAGATAGATAGATAGATAGATAGATAGATAAATTTATTGTCATTGTCCGTATATACACAGTATACACAACAACGAAAATCAAACACCCACCCAAAGACCGGGTTCACATACACATTTGCACATATCTCCAGCACTCTCATCCTATTCAGACATAATCTATAAAAACATAACATAATCCAGAATATAACATAACCTATTAAAGGCATAACATAGCCTAAAAAGCTACTTTTAGCAGGCAGCACAAAGAGAATAAACACTTGGGTATTTCAGAATTGTTTGCATGAACTATATGCCCAGCAAGCCTATCTCCTCTCCATCCTTTAACCCCTTGCTCTGTTTTTACCTGAAGACCAAAGTGAGCAGGGATGTTTACATGGCAAAAGGTACCCTGATCTTGCCGATAAGCCCAAATGAAATTAGCAAACGTAAGCAACTCGCACGCGATGCTTGTTCTACGAAAGAACAAACTGGCGATACAAATTCTAACATTCCATCCGTGGGTCTCACCTTCTGACCCAGAATCCCATTTCTCCCCTAATCCTTGCTGCAGTTAATTGATGAGGAGGGAAATGCACTCTTAGCATGCTCAGAAGCTATTCCACATGTTGCAGGGTTTAACAGTGACCATGGGCAGGGGAGAATAGCTTCAGAAGAACAGTCATGGTTGGGACTGAATCCTGGATTTACATATTTAGAAAGCGGAAAGTAGAATGATGCAGAGAATCAAAACCTGAGAAATCTGGTGGAGGAAAACAAGCCACATATTCCACAGAATATCCCCTTTACTAGTATAAGACAGTTACAGGGAACGCTTATTTCAGATATTTATTCTGAAGGTATACTACTGCTCTAAATTTATAATGTTGACGCTTTTCATACCCGAGACCCACCTATGACCCCCAAGCTACAAAACGGGCAGGAGCACTTTTAATATTTTGTTTATTTAATTTGAAGTATGCACATGCCATATTTCCATATAAATATTCCCAGGATGTTTTACATAGGAAGAATAAAGAACAACCACAAAAGTGATATGTTCGTGTTCCACTGTCTGACAGTGTCTACCCCCTTCTTCACCTTCCATAAATTCTTTTTATCCAGGTGTGAGGAGGTCGTTGGAAATAAGCGAATGAAAGATAGGGTATTGAAAGTGTTTGAGGTGTTTTTTTAATTGTTTTTGCATGTTTTTGTTTTGTTTTGTATGTAGAGTTTTTATATTGTATTTGTATTGTTCTTTTTTTTCTTCTTTCTTTTTTTCTTTTTTCTTGTAGTGGTGTGTTGGAATTGTTTGAAAAGTAATAAATATCATTTTTTTAAAAAAAAACATAAATTCTTTTTATCCTAATAAACATAAACAGGGGGAAACAGCCAACATAACCCATGAGTGGTCCTCAGTAGACTGGGGCACGATCCAGTTACTGGGTGCAGCCGGCTAGTTGAAAGTCAGTGCTCTAAAGCTGCCCTGTTTTTTCCTCAAAAAAAATACAACCTAAGACACAACACACCTCACAAACTGCTTAGCTAACGCATTCCACAAATACCTAAAGCAATTGGGGAATATCTATCTCCGAGTGGGGATGCTGACCATCTCAGGTAAATTCTGGGAATGTCTAAAACTCATAAATACGCACCTGAACCTTGCTCAGTTATATGTGACTGCAAATAACCAGAAGAAATGCAATTCCCACTATGAGTGACAGGCTAGCATATAAATGCTAGGAGGATGTTGATCATCCACTAGATACTGCAAGTGGGTCGTATATTGCATACATATGGACTCCAGATAGAGATATAACAGAGCCACATTTAAAGAACAGTTCTGCTGCAAAGAATTGTGAGGCTGTTGTTTACCACCCACCCTACGCACAGTTCAGCACCCTTAAAAATCACATATCCCAAGATTCTTGGCAGGAAGGGAGCAAATGTATTTTAAATGTATGCTGTACACACTGCCCCAGCGACGCCATTTGTATTCCACGAGTTTTGGGTCCTTCTTCTTGCATATCCTATCCGTACATGTGCACACAATGGACATATATACCTGATCGTAAACTCTAGTCCACAACCACGTTGGCCACCACTGACCTGTTTGCCTTTCAGTCTCATTCAGATGCTTGGACATGAATATGAACACCGATCAAACTTCTGGCATTCGCCTTGACAAATGCATGTAAAACTTAAAAACTGCAAATTGTGCTTACTTCTACAACACACAAGCCAACGAGAAAGTCCAGTTGTAGCAATGGTTCCTCAGGACTAAGTCCCGTCAGTCCCAACAGGACTTACTTCCTAGTAAGGATGCTTAGCCTTGAGGCCAAGAAGGATGACACAAATATGCTTGGCTTCAGTTTAACAGGCTTGTGCCCATTTCCATAGCCACAGTCAGATCAATCAAAGGACCAGAACATCGAAATCTGCCTTGTATTGAAAGCAGGGAAACATTTCTTGCCCTACCTGGAGATGCCAGAAATTTAACCTGGGACCTTCTGAGCTCATATACTGATATCAGAACCGAGGAAGTGATGGAGTGACTCCAGATTGCTTCACAGGAATGAGAACCTATTTTCAAAGCACACCTAATATTCTTCTCTCCCACTGTTTCTCATCACAAATATTCAACAAGTATTGTTTAAATGAGCAGCGATATTTGTGTAAGGTCGGGGACCAAATAGTAATCTTAGAAGCACATGCAGATTCTCTCCAAAGAGTAAACTATGACTGGCACATCCAAGAATGTCAAGCCAGTTGAGGTGGCTTGCAAGGAGAATCTGGACCCACCGGTCATTTTTTTCATATGCGATGAGCGTATGAGGCCTAAGCTACCTCACAAGGTTGGTGTGACTGGGAAAAAATAGGAAGAGACCTGCATGCGCCGCCTTGAGCTCCTTAAAGGAAAGGAGGAATCAAAATGCAATAAAGAAATAACCACACTTTTCAACAAGCCCGCATTAAATCCCAGCATAAAAATAAAGCAAAACTTGTGTTTCCTACTGTTGGGCTCAGGTGAGAGTTTTTGTGAGCTCCCACACCTAATTATATAGAGAGACGCTTCCCAGAGCCATAGTCTGAGCATTTATTGGGGGATCGTAATTTTGCTCTGTGTTCCTTACCATGCATGCTGTGGTCCTGCACACAGACTTCCAGTTAAAGATGACACAGAAAGAGATAAATATTAGAATCGTTCTACTAAGGAGAGCATCATTCGCAAGTGGAGTTTCAGACCTAAGCACCACACATCCACCTTCTTAAGCAAAAAACTAGGACATCTTTGCAAAAGGGTTCCCTTACTCCCTTACTTATTTAAACTGCAGCTGCACAATATGGTTAGTTGCATTTATTCGTCGCTCCCCCCCCCCCAAGGAAAATGGTCTGGAAGCGCCTTACAAATCCACAACAGGCCAAACCAGTCTTGACCATCATTTTCACACCAAAAGCACTGGAAACATTGGAACCAGCTGCCCAAAGGGCGATGTGGGGAAGCACATAAAACACGCACACGAAAACACACACGGATCCATTCTGGAGGAAGTTTTAACCCTTTCCTCCTCAGAGGGATTCCTTCTCCTCCTCCTCCAAATTATTTTTAGAAAATAAACCTACTCGCCTCAAGGAGAATTGCAGCGTTTAATTCCCAGCCCCCAATAAATCTCGCTGGATCCACAACAAGCCCTTTCAGCAACGTCCATTTGTTTTCAAAAGCAATGGAATTACTTAATCGGAAGAGGTTTGAATGCAATCTTCATCTCACGCCGAAGTCAATGTCAAAACTCCCATTTCCTTAGACTGGCTGTGCCTTCCACGCAGCCCCTTCTAAACACCCAACCCTGTGGCGGTCTAAAATCCCTAGAAACCAACGGCTTAACCGGTTTGTGAATCGGGTTATTTGTTACCTATCAAGTCTGGGGTGTTTGTTTTGTTTTATTTGCAAATTACCAGCCATGTTGCATCGAAAGGAGACGTGAGCTACATACCAACACGCTGTCCTGGGAGCCTGGCTCGGCTTTATCTCCTCCCCTCCCCCCACTAAAATCCATATATTTAGACACACTCCACTTTCATCACCCCAGTTATTATTTTTTTTAAAAAGCCAAGCCCATATCACCTCTCCGTCCCGGCATGGTTCTTGCGGGGGTCGCCAAAGAGCGCGCCCGCGCGTTTGCGCATCTCCGCCTGCCCGTTGCATTCGTCCTCCAGCTGTGTGTTTGTGTCTCGTTGTGTGTGATCCCTATGCAAGAATTTAATTCCCAGGCAGAAGTGAAAGCCCAAGCACGCCGCGGTCCTGCAGTATCGCCGCCCGCGCCGGCTCGTCGCTCGCTCGTCTCCCTCCCCCGTTTTAATTCTTGCAAACCTTTCCAGATTTTTTTTCCCCCTTCAAAGCATCGACTTTGCAAGAAAAGCGATTCGTGCAAGCAAGTCTCTCTCATTTCCCTGATTCCTTAGCCTCCAAAATACACACACACACACACACATGCACACGCTCCAATCTCCTGTAGCCCAAAGGGAATGGGGTGAATTATCTATCGATGGGGTGACCCGTAGCTTCGAGGGCGCAGGGTTGCCTTACCATTGCAGTCCCGAGGTGGAGATCCCGCGATCGGCAGCTGGACGCCCTTGGATCTCCAGCCGAGGAAGGCGAACTGCAGTCTTGTCTGGAGCAGTCCTCGGCGGCTGGGACTCCTTTAGCGAAACGAGAGAGATTTCAAAAGGGTCTTTCCTCCCCACGGCTTGGCGAACAGCTGCTGCAATGGCATCAGTGCATTGCAGTGCAAAAAAAAAAAAAAAAAACTGCCCAGGCAAGCAGAGGAGATGTGTGTGTGCTCGCTATTATTATTTTTTAAATAAATAAATCAGAAATCAACTCGGCTACGAAGGAATTAACATTCACTCCCAGTCCTCAGCGCTGCCTAGCGCCTTGAAACGAGGGACCAGGAGTTGCCACGCCGTTGGGACGTGCCCGCGAAGGCATTTGCCTCGCAAAAAAATATTTATACTGAGGGTGGTGCGCTTTGTGGGTTTTTAAAACTTATTTCCTTTGAAATGGAGTGGTTTTTGAAAATTATATCATTTGCTTGCTTCGCGCTATTTTTTATTTTTTTTTTAAGAGAGGGTTTGATCCCGATCAAGCAAGATGCGAAGCCGAATCCGGATCTAACAAGACATCGCTTGGAAGGTCTCTGTGCGCAAACCTGCCCAGGCAGGACTGCCCGGCTCTCGCGCGTCCTGCAGAAAAATTGCCAAGTATTCCTCGCCCTGCAAAGAGAGGGGAGGGGGAGAGAAGGGGGGCAGGCGATGGGAAGAGGCCTGAGCCAATGGCTTGAGAGGGGTAGAGATGGGAGAGCCAATGGGCTGGAGGGAGAGGCGTGGCCTATTCAAACCAGCTGTTTAAGTCAAACTCTTGGTATCCAAAGCTGCGTTCAGATTCTTTCTCTCTGAGTTAAAGGTTGCGCGGAGCTGGAAAGTGGATGATAGCTTCATGAGGACTGCCGGCATGAAAGTCTTCTTTGACTTTGAGAAAGAGAGAGAGAATATCAATCCATCAGTTTACTGTACTAGCCAAGGTAAAGGGACCCCTAACCATTAGGTCCAGTCATGACCAACTCTGGGGTTGCGGCGCTTATCTCGCTTTATTGGCCGAGGGAGCCAGCATACAGCTTCCGGGTCATGTGGCCAGCATGACTAAGCCGCTTCTGGTGAACCAGAGGAGCGCACGGAAACGCCGTTTACCTTCCCGCCAGAGCGGTACCTATTTATCTACTTGCACTTTGGCGTGCTTTCGAACTGCTAGGTTGGCAGGAGCAGGAACTGAGCAACGGGAGCTCACCCCGTCGCGGGGATTCGAACCGCTGACCTTCCAATCAGCAAGCCCTAGGCTCTGTGGTTTAACCCACAGCACCACCCACGTTCCATGTACTAGCCAAAGGCCATGACAATACCATGCCATCAGTTTAAAATTTAACTCAAACAGCTGCAAATAAAAACAGCAGCCAAGACAACTGATAACAGCAATACCAGCACAGTTACACTAATTAAATTTCAGTTTAGACCTTGGAAAACCCCTTAAAATTCACAGCAATTTTATTCGGTTCCTAATTTTTCTATTATTATTATTATTATTATTATTATTATTATTATTATTATTATTATTATGCCACTGGAGAAAAAGAGCTACTTTAGGTGTCACTAAGACATTGTTGTCACACAACAACCCCTGAACCCTTTCTATCAGGGAGAGATGCCTCTTTGGATCATTGTGTAAAGGACAAGTGGACATATAATGAGGAATATCTTCCACCTGAGGCTGAAAAAGAGATTGTATATAACTATATATAGATACAATGGGAAGAGGAGGAGTCACCCAGTGTGGTTTATTCTCAGTGAAAATCATCAGTGCCCTTTACTCTGACGGGTCATGAAGTTTTGACTTCAGATTTCCATTCAGTCTATGAAATTCAAGTACTGCTCTTGAACATTCAAGTGATTCCTCATCTCTATAGTTCCTTTTCTGTGCCCCGAGAGTATGACTCCAACCTAATCATCCTTTTATAGGACTATACTTGAAATTTATAGCATTCTAGAGGTTTGCTGTGTTTTCCAAATGATAATTAAGATCAGAAGAACCCCGGAGAGCTAGTGTGGTGCAGCGATTATAAGACCCAGGTTCAAATCTCCACTAGGCGCTGAATCTCACTGGGAAATCATAAGATAGCTACTCTTCCTCTGTTTAACCTTCCCCAGGGACGCAGGTGGTGCTGTGGGTTAAACGACAGAGCCATAAGAACTTGCTGAAATAAACAAATGGAAATGGAATACAAGAAGGGGAGGGGTGGGGAAGTCTTGGAAAGATGTTATTGAAAGTAAGGTTTATGTAAATGTTTTCTTTTTTCTTTTTCTTTTTCTTTTGGATTTTTTGGAAATTTCAATAAATATGTTATTAAAAAAAAACAAAAAACGACAGAGCCTAGGACTTGCCGATCAGAAGGTTGGTGGTTCGAATCCCCGCAACGAGGTGAGCTCCCGTTGCTCGGTCCCTGCTCCTGCCAACCTAGCAGTTTGAAAGCTCGTCAAAGTGCAAGTAGATAAATAGGTACTGCTCCGGTGGGAAGGTAAATGGCGTTTCCGTGCGCTGCTCTGGTTCGCCAGAAGCAGCTTAGTCATGCTGGCCACATGATCCGGAAGCTGTACGCCGGCTCCCTTGGCCAATAAAGCGAGATGAGCGCTGCAACCCCAGAGTCGGCCACGACTGGACCTAACGGTCAGGGATCCCTTTACCTTTACCTTTTTACAGGGTTGTTGTGAGGATAAATTAAGGGGCAGGGAGAGAACCGTCCATGTACAGTGGTACCTCGCTTCAGGTGACAGACTCCGCTAACCCAGAAATAGTACCTCAGGTTACAGACGCTTCAGGTGACAGACTCCGCTAACCCAGAAATAGTACCTCAGGTTAAGAACTTTGCATCAGGATACGAACAGAAATCATGTGGCTGCAGCAGGAGGCCCCATTAGCTAAAGTGCTGCTTCAGGTTAAGAACAGTTTCAGGTTAAGAACGGACCTCCCGAACGAATTAAGTTCTTAACCCGAGGTACCACTGTACTGTATGCCACTTTGAGATCCTTAGAGGATATATATGAGTAAATATTTGACTTATAATTGTTTTACTTTTGAATGGCAGTAGTTACGACCGCCACAGACTTGATATCGATAAGCAGCACAGAAAGCGGGAAACATTATATGTGAGCACCATCGTTTGTGTGGGGATCTCAGGCAAGACTTCTCATCTGCAAAGAAGCAGGGAGGTGATTTGTATGGGAGAAGGAAGGTTGTAGCTTAGGGCGTAAGAACATAAAGGAGCCTGCAGGATCGGGCCAACGGCCCATCAGAGCAGCCACTTTGAGGCTCTCCTCATGTTCTTTTCTCCAAGAGCGTTGGCAGTGGTGGTGGTGTCTCCCTTTCCTATCTTTACGTTCTTAACCTGCTTCAGAGGTTAAGTTGTGGGTGAAATATCAGACGACACAGCGATTTTCAGCAGCTCTTGTTTATTCACAGGCCAGAACACTGAACAGCCAACTGCTTATAAGGTCCACACAAGCAGCAACACTTCTGTAACTAACAGATCACTTTCAAGTTAACACACACATAGGATTAACAGGCATCATAAGTTTCAAATGTTAACTAGAAAAAAGAGAAAGAAAAAAAAAAAACACACATAGGAAAAATAAATAGAAAAGCAAATAGCTAATATGAACAGAAAAAGTTTAAATTATCATCTTAATAATCCACATTCTAATTCTTATTTGCATATTGCGAAACCTGAGTGAATCCTATCTCAATTTCATAGTATCCCTATTAAAATATGTATTTGCTTTCAAATCATACTCATATTTGAAAACTTTACCAATACTCTTATTTTCCACGACATCATAACATCGGACAATATTCTGCAGTGATTTAAACTTCAATCTACAGTCCAGATCCCGCTCTGCTGTCCATACCCATCGCCATTCCCAGGGTTGTTTCAACTTTCAATTCCTTATTTGCATATGCGGACCTGAGTGAAAACTATCTACAGTATCCCCCTGCTGGCCCAGGGTGAGAACTCAGTACATAGCAACTTAAAAAAGACAACAAATGATTTGGACTCCTCGGCAGATTTTGAATAAACATCCACAAATTTATTAGTAGAATATATGAAAGATAAGGCAATGATTTGTACAATTTTATAACATGCAGAGAATAAGATGTGCAAATAAATCAGAGAGGGAGCAGAGGGAAGTCCATAGTGTGTGGGAGAGGGATGGATGGAGGGAAATAAAAAGGGGGGGGGATGTAATTGGATATATGGATTGATAATTTGTTCTGTTAAAATTGTTTAATAAAATATATATTTTAAAAAAAGAAAGAAACTAAAACTATCTGGCTCTGCTTGCCATTGAGTGGGTCAATCTGCCTTTGGGTTCCCTGTCTCCCACCCCATTCATTGCAATGGGCAACCAATGATTCTTTCCTATATTTTCAAGGAACAATGATATCCAAAGGCACTGGACCAGTACGGTAATTACTGGGTAGCGATCTTAAATCTTGTCTTTGTCCATGGAGTTTTCTTGGCAGGGATACTGGAGTGGCTTGCCAGTTCCTTGCTCCAGGTGGATCACGTTTGGTCAAAACTCTCCACTATGACCTGTCCATCTTGGGTGCCCTGCACGGCATAGTTCATAGCTTCTCTGAGTTATACAAGCCCCTTCGCCACAGCAAGGCAGTGATCCATGAAGAGTCCAGGAGACTCTTGAGAGTCCCATGGACTGCAAGAAGATCAAACCTCTCCATTCTGAAGGAAATCAGCCCTGAGTGCTCACTGGAAGGACAGATACTGAAGCTGAGGCTGCAGTACTTTGGCCACCTCATGAGAAGAGAAGACTCCCTGGAAAAGACCTTGATGTTGGGAAAGATGGAGGGCACAAGGAGAAGGGGATGACAGAGAACGAGATGGCTGGACAGTGTTCTAGAAGCTACCAGTATGAGTTTGACCAAACTGCGGGAGGCCGTGGAAGACAGGAGGGCCTGGCATGCTCTGGTCCATGGGGTCACAAAGAGTCGGACACGACCAAACAACTAAACAACAATCTTAAATCTGCCTAATCAAAATTGATAATACTTCAGTGCACTTACAGTAATGTGTAGCACTAGAAGCCTGTCTCCCACTGTCTTTCCAGGTTCCACTCCACCCCCCACCCCCACCCCCACCCCGGTTAAGTTGCCATCAAATGAATAAAAGACAATAAGCAGCTCGACCTTCGGGTTTTCTGTCCGTCTAGCCAGAAATCAATATTAGGAACATGATCAAAAAAGGTGACAGCCAGAGGGGTGCATGGGGAATGATGTGAAAGGGGGGAAGATGACCTTTTGGCAAAGACACAGGGGGTTGCAGGGGAAATAGATTTTGCCAGGGGGGGAATGGTTTCTTTTTAAAAGATAGGTGTGTTGCAGCTTTTGCCAACCTGGTGCCCTCCAGATGTTGAAGGGTGCCATCTCTGGTTGGCCCCACCCAGTGTGGATGGTGGTCAAGGATGAGAGGTAGCCAAGTACGGTAGTTTCTGGAGGGTCGCAGGTTCCCATCTCTACTGCATATCTTCCTATATACATAAAAATGTATCCAGCAGCCTCCATTGGGGGATTCGTAGTGTCGTATCACAATTCTGGATCTGCACAAAGTCTATTGACTTCAAT